TTAGCTGTCAGAATTCATTCAGAATCCTGAGATTAAAGTCAGAATTCTGATCTTTTTCCCATATTAAAGTGAAATAATATTTAAAAATCAGTTAACTTTTTTTTTTAGTACATTTCTGTATAATTTTCAGAGTAATTTTAAAGAACCTTATAACTTTAGGAAACCATCTGATGTAGGATACAAATTATAGACTGCTTGGACAAAACTTTAGCATAAAAAATTTCTAAAAAAAAATAAAGAAATAAATAAGGTTATTATTTCTTATTTAAAACAAGCCAAAAACAAATCAGAAATGTCTTAATTCTTCTCACAGTTTCACTGTGGAATAGAGGTTAAAGGTTGAATCTATTATTACATGAAATTCATAAATTACAAGTAATATCTGCCCTGAGTTTTTCACTTTTGTGGAATGTCCTGCATTTCTCTAAGACAGTGGTGTCCTTTGTTGGTGTTCTATTTCGCATGTTGAAATTGCAGAGCCAAAAGTAACTAGCAGCTTCCTGCAAATGGAGTGGATTTAATCTAGTTAGAGTATGATATGGTTATAAGTACCCGTTGCATTTTATTTTATCCTCATCACTCTGACTGCATATAGAGAGGATCCGACTATGAGGGTGAGCAGATCCGATGTGTGCAGACTATTTTCACTGTGCCTGACGAATTGAATCACTGCCCCACGTTTGATTGGATCAGATTTTGAAAAGTTATTAAATAAATAAATAAAGCGCTCAGCTATAGAACAAAGCTCCACTTAAGTCTGGGCAGCATCTCTTAAACCAGAACACATTGGAAACTTTACAGGCCTAAATTGAATAAAATGGGAACTCTGTTTAAAGAAATGGAAAACGCAGGAATAAAGGCTGTGGGACGGATTATATGGGTAGTTGCTGATGCACCGAGAGGTAATTCTTTGACGCCATCTGTGAAGTTTGTCAAAGTTTTTCTTTTGTTGTGTTTTATAAAGAAGGGACAGGGATAAGCTGCAGTTACCTTAACTGTCTGTCACTCGCCGTCTTTTTTTTTGTGTGGCTCAAAGAGGATCAATGTTTTACTATATCTATTCTCCAAAAGTTTGTCAAAGTCTTTTTTTTTTCTCCTAGGGGAGCGAGAAGTTGCGCTTTCAAATCTTCCTCATTGTTTTTGCGAGGCTAAAAGAGGATTACTATTTTATTCGTTTTCTGTCCTGCTGAAATGCTTTCGTTGGTAAACTATTCTGTTTTATTGATCCTTTATGCATGAGTTTGCCCCACCTGCTCTATAGGTGCTTTGAAACTCCAAACCTGACTGTTTTCCTTAGCAATTGACAGATTTAGTTTTTGCATTTTCCCCCCAGTTAGATGTGTTTTACTTTGTAACCGTGCCTCCCTTCCTGGCAGACCCATGAAAGTGCTGCGTAGTCCGACTAAATTAGACCTGGGGTCATTTGGAGTGACGCCAGCCGCCTGCAGAAAAACGTGTCAGTTCTGTTCATCCCCAATGACTCTAACTGAGGTTTATGGCTTTAGGATGAAAACCTTTGCAAAGCACTATAAGTGAGTCTTAGCTTATTCTAACCAACAAAAGAAAATAAAGCTGTTTGCTCGGTTAAATCTAATGCAGAGTGAATCCACCTTCAGGTACTTCACTGCCTTCTCTTCCATCTCAGGCTGAGAATAACATCGAGCCCAAACAGGAGCCAGGTTGGAGGGGTAGAACTCAAAGTGTTTGGAGTGCGTCACCAGGTTGTAGTCAAACCAGGCTCCCCTCTCAGCGTCCCACAGCAGCGCCTCCATAGCCTTAGTCCTGCGGGCTGCAGCCTGGTCATACAGAGCGGCTGACTCAGTGTTACCTGTCAGGACACAGCATATCATTGTTACGTAACACCAGTTAGGAGCTAAAAGCAGTCTGCAGCAGCACCAAAGGTCAGAGGCTCACCCAGCAGTCGGTGGAACGAGGCCAGGGTTCTCTCATTGCGGCACAGCAGGGCGTTGAGGTCAGTGGGTAAAATCTGGCTGGTGCGGGTCTCTCGGAGGGTCCCGTCGTTGTGGCCGGTGCTGTTTATGAACCAGCGGGAGGTGAAGTCCCAACCAGACTCTGCACCTGCTTTTAGGTCCATCCACAGCTGCTGTTTGAGCTCTAAGGCCAGAGGGGAACATCACAGAGAGCCAGGCTGAAATTTACACATTCAAAGCTCAGCTCTGCTCTTTAAAAGAAACCAAAGAAATGAAATATGAGGTCTCATGCTGAGTCATGTTTACCTCTGCTCTACACCAGCTCTTATGAGCTTTAGCAAAAATATCTTTGTCAGGTGGAGGACTATAGGTGATGTTGAATATTTGTAATAGAGCAAACACCTTCAGGTGACAGAAAGATCATTTAAAGTAGCATTATAGACCAACGATGGCTCAGAGAATGGATGGTTTCCTCCCTGCATACATTATCTGAGAACATTTCTAATGTATCACAGCTTACTAAAGGGACGCATTCCAAATGCTGCAGAGCATCTATGACAACTTATCTCACCCTCACAGAAGAGAAATCGTTCAGCCAGACAGAAAAATAATTTTAAGAACCCATTACCATGAGAGAGTCCTTCAGCCAATTCCAGATCATCAGTGTAGGACTCAGGCCTGGAAGCAAAGACGAGGTTAATGAGGGTAAAGATGTGCTCTAATATACGCCCTCTTCTGCCTGAGCGTGCAGTCATGGTTAAAAGTTTACAGAATGACAAATAGTTTGTTTTTCCACACAAACTTTACTCCTTCAGTGTTATGAGATCTTTTTATTCCCTGAAACTCACTAATAATGAAATATTGGAAATCTTAAAAACTGTTCAGCTTTGCTATTCTTTCTAAAGAAGGACATTCAATCAGGATAATGCTGCCACTACCGTGTGTCACCATGGCCATAGTGTGCTCAGTGTGTTGTTAACTCTAACACAAATTTTATTGCATGTAGTTTCCTTTGTCATGCCTTTGTTTGCTTCGGTTTGCAGATAAACCTAAACATGACTTCTTATAGCTCTATTTAATGACACTCTTCCATAAAAGCCTGAATTGGGGAGTGCATCACTAATGACTGTACTGGTGACAGATTCTCCAACCTTAAACATGGTGCTCTGCAGTCACCACAGCCCTCGTGGCTGCATTTATGATTAATCCATTTACCAGACTGTCAGTTTAAGGTAAGGCACATTTATTTATATAGCACTTTTAAATAGCAGTACAATTAAAAGTGCTGTGCAGGAAATAAGAAAATGGATCATAGGAAAACAATATTGAAGTGGCATAAAGAGAGAAAAAGACAGGAGAGTTTGACGACAACATGACTAATAATTTAATAAATAACATTTTAACTTTGATTTAAAGCAACTTAGGGTTCAGCATTTTTACAGAGTTTTTTTTCCAGATTAGTACAAACCAAACTGTTTGGTTCTGGGTGTGCAAAATAGATTTGAGCCAGTAGACCTGAGAGGTCTGGTTGGTAGATACACAACGACAATTAACCTGTAATGTATTTTAGAGCTAACCTGTTTCATGATTTAAAGACATACAGAAGTATTTTAAGGTCTGTTCTCTAAGATACAGGGAGCTGGACGAAGGACTTTAGAAGTGGGCTTATGTGTTCCACTTTGTTAGGTTTTGTGACGCTGGTGACAGAAACATTTTAACATGACTTCTTTAGCTCTGGTGTATGTCAGGAGGTCCATATGCTACATGAACTATTATCATTAAGCATCTGCCACCTTTCTGAATACCTACTATTAGGCATTCAGAAATTAGGCAGATATAAGTACTACTAGTACTTATACCCGCCTTATAATAAAAGCAGATTGTGTCAGCAGTTCCTATACGTAGTACTATATACTAGTACTTATAGGAACTGCTGACAAAATCTGCTTTTATTTTGTTGTCCTTATCAAATTTGCTTTACTCTATTGGTCCTGTGGTACTGTGAGCCTACTTCACTGGACTGGAGGCAATAAAGGAATGGTTTCAAAATGCGTTCCTCTTTCTCAGATTCCTTCATGAAACAATGCAGATCTTCTAGTTCTCAGCAGTCCAAGCCTGCTTGTTCTTGATGATTTCTTTCTGTATTTGATGTGTTTTTTGTTTGAACTGGTGGCAATATTTGCAATTTCTTGTTCATCTTAGCATCGATTTGGAAGTTTGATAAATGGATGAGGTGCCTTTTTACTAGCAACAGTATCCTTGTATGTAAAGCTCTGCTGATGCAAAGTCACAGTTTCAGTGTAGGTAATAATGGTTCATAAAAGAAGATTTTAGTTGCCTCTCTTAAATCCATGTCCTCAAGTATCTGGAGGAATAAAACAGTATTTTTCCCATTAATATTATGATAGAACATTATTTTCTTGATTCGTAGTGATATAGACCAGAGGCAAAACCATTACATATAAACTGAAGCAGTACATTATGTGCAAACCAAATCTCCATCAGCCTCTGAGCTTTTTGCCACATGTATTGCAGCCATACCTGGGCAGGTCTGCCTCCACGATATACCGGTTCAGAACATGGTCTAACCCACTTTCTTTCAAGGCCACAGAACGGTTTTGCATCCAGAACTCATACTCTTTCTCCAGAACTGGAAGAGCTTCTCTAAAATCAACAAGAGGCAATACTGGAATGAGGAAGAGTCAGAAAGGTGATGGTGTCACATTCTATCAAAGCTTGGTTGGTGCCCAGGAATCCACCAGCTCTTTATATTTTTTCATGGTTTCACTCAGAATATTACCTGAGGAACTGCTGGTCCTTGGTTGCTTCATAGTAGCTCTCCACCATCAGCGTGAGAAATGGAGGCTGACTCCGCCTCTCATAGTAAATCCTCCCACCGTTTGGAACAAATCCATACCTGTAGGAGTGGACAGTAATCTTTTTATTCTAGAGATGTTTAAATTCCCCTGAGAACTGTTTTTCTCCCCCTGAATGAACTTGAGATTTTGAGACAATTTAAAGCTTTACCTGTTGACGAGGAAGAGGAAGTTCTGGATCATACCGTGGGCCGTTTCAGTCATCTCAGACAGGAGCAGTCCATTGATGACCCAGTAGGAGTCCCTGTTGGTTTTGAGATAAAAATCCTGATTGCCTGATTAGGTAAGAACGATAACGCAGAAGGAGATGAGAGGTCCAACTGTTGGCTCACCAATAGTAGAGTTCCCTGAAGCGCCCGCCCGGCACGACGACAGGATGGGGGGTGTAAATCTGAGAGTAGAGCTCTGGATGGTCTTTGACATTATTTTGGATCTGGAGGAGAGACTTAATTATTCATCTATGGCACTGAGAGGAAAAACTTAAAGATCCATCCAGATCAGGTTATTTACAGTAAGTATAAAAAATAACTAAATTTAAATAATGAGATTTTTTGGTCTTTTTAAAAAAAACAAATCTGAATGCTTAGAAAAAAACTTGAAAGTGTCAGAGTGTGCTACATTAAAAATATATAAATACCACTAGAACTTTTTTCCTGATCAACCACAACCTTCACTGTTTCTAATCAGGATTTTATATAAAGAATAAGTGCAGAGTCACACATGAGTGTGAAGTGGAACAAAATAAAACCAAAACAAGTCTGAATTGCTGCTGTAGTAATACAGTGAATAAGAATAAAGGTTTTTATCTTCATCTGCACTACATCTTGTGCTATCTCTATAGTTATGCTGCTATAGGCTTAGACTGCTGGAGGACATAGGGACCCTTTTTCATCCTTCTGCTTCATTCTATCTCTATTTTCCCATTCTGCAAAATATGTTTGTTCAATCTCTAACGTTATGCTCTCTCTTTTTCTCACAGCTGCCTTATCTGGTCTGTTCCTGTTTGGCTGAGACACAATTCTGGAGAGAGGTGTCAGCTCTGCTGCTACCATCAATGCCTGGCTGCTCACACTGAGCCTAATTCTGCTAGAGGTTTCTTCCTGTTAAGAGAGTTTTTTTTCCTTTCCACTGTCGCTACAAGCATGCTTGGTATAAGGGATAGCCTTCAAGTTAATGAGTTGATGCAATCAACTGGTTTTCCTTAGATAGAAGACTTTTAATAAGTTTGACTGCATGATCTGGTTGAATTTTCTCTGTAAAGTGCCTTGAGATGACACATGTTGTGAATTGGCACTATATAAACTGAATTGAATTGAATTTCATCTCAGAGTAAAGGCGGATAAACACAAATGCACATCAGATATCTATTTAGAAAAGGTTAAAAAATTATATTTTCTTTCCTGCAAACTAGATCTTTAAATCCCCATCAAAAACATTGTAATTTGTGTCTGTAATTTTCCAAAATGTGAAATAGGAGGAGGCTGCTTTAAGTCTGACTGAAGCACAGGTCAAAAAATACTTTTGCTGACTCCTGCAAGTGGAAAGGAACAACCTGCCAAAGGCTAACTTTATTAATGTTGTAAATATTGTTGACTATAACTCATCTAAGAGGAGAATCTGACAAACAGCTTCAAAACTTCCTTCTCATCACCTTTCTGCCGAGAGACTTCCACAGATTGTGAATCTCTTCCCCCCACATCCGCAGCTTTTCATCTGCTATTCCACTCAGGAACTTGGGCCTGAATGAGAGAGGCACTTTTTATCAACCAGGTAATAAAACCATCGATCTAAGCAGGACAGCTTTATCTTACTTTTCGTGCCAGTCTGTTGGCATCCACGTCTCAAACTCTGTTCCTGGTTTCTCAAAGTTTGCATCAAGAAACTCTTTGAGTTTTGTGGCAGGGATGGAAGAGTTTGGCGATTCATTGGAGAGGAGTTTAAAAGCTGCCAAAACATCAGCTGTGAAGGATTTTAAACATGATGTTAGCAGGTGGCAGGGAGATGTAATCAAGGTGTTTTAGTGAGCAGAGACTCACCAGGTGCTGACTTCAGCTTCATGTCAACAAAGTACTTGTCATCATCAAACAGCTTAGCTTCTTGGACCTGATGCAGGATGGGTCCTGAGCAGTAGATTTCACTGAAACAAAGAGGGAACAATTAAGACCATCCAACTGGAGTGTGATAAATCACCATCAGCTGTGCTATAAACAAGCAAACTGCTGTAAAGGTGGACATTAAAAAACTTTCCATTTCAAGCACATTACCTCAATGTACGACAAAAATATGTCAATTTCTTTGACATATAAATAAAACGACAAAGCGTTTAATAAAAAAAAAATCTGATAAGCATGGTTTTATTATTTTATTTTGGTTTACAGCAAATAAAAACCTCCATTCCATCCAATTTACATCATGCTTATCCCAAGTGGGATCACGAGGGGTGCTGGTGCCTATCTCCAGCTGCCTAGTGGCGGGATTCACCCTGGACAGGTCACCAGTCCATCGCAGGGCAACACAGAGACAAACAGGACAAATAACCATTCATAAACACACTCAGACCTAAAGAAAACTTAGAGAAGCCAATTAATCTAACAGTCATGTTTTTGGTCTGTGGGAGGAAGTCGGAGTACCTGGAGAGAACCCACACATGCTCAGGGAGAACATGCAAACTCCATGCAGAAAGACAGCAGGCCGGGAATTGAACCCAGAACCTTCTTGCTGCAAGGCAGCAGTGCTACCCACTCAAATATAATAAATAGAAACCCGACAATGATATTTAAAAAAAGATCCCACTTTCTACCAATAAAGATAAAGGGATTTTTAACTAAAAATATAGTGCTATTAACATAGAGAAAGTCTGCTCACGGTAATCATCTACAACTATAAAAGTCAGGGCTAAAGAAACAGGCTGTTAGGGGAGCAAATATCTAACATTTATGGGAATTTATGATAAAGAACAATGTTTGCTACTAAAAAATGCAGAGGGAACAAGGACGAGCACGTTTAAGCACTTGGGGCAGACTGACAGTAACTGAGACCACAGCAGTTTCTTTCCTTATGTTAAACCAATCCTGAACTCACTGTCAGGAGATTCATCTGGACATAAAGGTTGATGCTTGGTGCTCCTGGATCCTCACTTTAAAGGAAAGCAAACATTGCATTTCATTTTATCTCAGAGCTGGGTGGATGTTGGCTCCTAATATTTGCTATTAAAGGTTTTGAAAAAAAATAGTACAATATGTATTTCTGAATCACTAATTTCATTTCTCAGTTAGGAGTTTTTATCTATTGGAGCTTTTTCATAAATAACCAATGATCAATTACTGCAGGAGAGACCTTGAAAGATAATACTTTTTGCTTCAGCATATTTGCCTGGTTTTGGTTTTTAGACTATTTTCACTTATGAAATAGTCAAAGTTTATTACAAATAGAGTTAATGATGTGTCTTTATGTCTGTTAGAGTTAATGTAAAAGACAGTCTTTAGTTGACACACACTGGGGAGGGTTGCAACTCTTCATGACTGAACCTGACAATCTATTCCTGTTATTGTACTTAGTTGTGATTCTACAAAATCAACCCAACATCATCAGTCTTCATTGTTCATCCTTTATAAAAAATAACATTTAGGTTCACATTTTTAATGAGGGCGATGATGGTGACCCAGCAGTGCAGGCTTGGTTGAGCCAAAGGCTAAAAAGGACACATTCTGACCATGGTACTCTTAAGTTGACAAATTATCTGAGGTTCTCTTTATCAGGGTTCCTACAGCATAAGGCAAGTTAAATTCAAGTGTGTTTTTTGCAGCTATTTTTCTTTGTATGGTTTTCTTAGTACGTTTGATTTGATAAGTGGAGGCGTTGCAGAGACAAGGGTGGAACAAAACCGAGAAGTTTCATGCTTCGCATGTGTGACTTCCCTGCCTTAACTCCCATCGTTCCGAGGTTGAATGACTTCTTGCACAAAATCCACTGTGCCTCATGTATGTTCCCAGGTTTTAGCAATGGAGAAAACTCTTGGCTGGACAAACAATTTTCATTACATGTACAATTGCTCATATTTTCCAGACAAAAAGTTAATGCCGCATCTCCTAAATGTCCCGGCCGCAACAACGCTTTTATTATTTCGCTACCGGGACGGAACCAATAATGGCGAGCCATTTTTTTTTAAAAAAAAAAAAAAAAAAATGTTTGTAATTTTAATGTTTTATTTAGATTACAAAAATAAATCGTAATAAAAATTATCCTATTTATGTTTTAAAAAATAAGACCTACGAAAGACTAATTTAAGACATTTTAATACCAATTAAGGCCTTAATTTTATTTAGAAGAATCCAATGCCTTTTAAGACTTTTTAAGGACCCGCGGGAACCCTGTTTATGTAGTCTCCATCTTGGTTTCTTTTTCCTTCCACTGCCTAGCCTGCTTTAAATTAATCAAATAAGTCATTTTTAATTATAACTTGGAAAGGTGCAACACTGTCGGCCTGTCAGCCATTGTTTACCTAGCTGTATTAGCTTTTTCACAGGGAATTAGTTGAGGAAACATGCTCATATTTGCTATATTTACAGCAAATGTTTTCAACTGAAAACATGCATAGCTGATATTTAATTTCAAAATAATTTGTATATTGGTAAAACAGAAAAAATAAATAAAAAACTTAAATGTCAGTTTGAAGGTTTTTATTCCAAATGAAGTATTCCAGCATTCAGCGTCAACTTTCACCATGTGAGCTTTAGAGATTGATGCTTTAGATGATTGATGCCGGCCGTTGGAATAGACGGTGTTAGTGACCCGTTTTCCTCCATTTAATCAACTTTTGTGAGAAATATGAAGGTGCTAGATAATCTGATTCAAAACAAATATTTGTTTTGAAAATTACAATTTTTTAAATTAACATTTTTTAAATTAAATTCGACAAAGATTAAAAGCTTTAGGCAGAGGATCTACAATAACTTATGCCCTAGTGGCTTTTCGTAGCAATAATATAGGTTTTATGAGGCTTTGAGTTTGAATTAAAAGATATAAGAAAAAAAAAAGCTTTTTTTATAGTTGCAGCCTAGCGGTTAGGGCATAGAGCTTGGAATCCTGAGGTTCTGAGTTTGAGTCCCACTCCCAAAGACTGCCCGTCACTGAGCAAGACCCTTAACCCCACAATGCTCCCCAGGCGCCGCACAATGGCAGCCCACTGCTCCCTAAGGGGATGGGTTGGATGCGGAGGTAAAGGTCTCCAAAGTGAGATCAATAATGTTCAGTTAGTTACAAGGTGTAAAAATAGTTCTGTTGACAAACTACCATCAATCTAATGTTGACTCAAAGTTTAAAAGAAACATGGTCCTGCTTCAGAGGTGAAAATGGAAAAGCACAAAATCCAAGTAGCTTTTATAGTAGGCTGATATTTCAGAAGCAAATACCTTTTGTGCCTATGAAATAGTGCAAGTAAAATCTTTAGAAAAAAAAAATCATCACTAATTAGTTGAATCATTGGCAAATTTGGCTTTACGCAATTCATCACATACCGACACTATTAAACTACGTCTGCATAAGTTGCAACATTTTTTGAAGAGAAATGAGCAAATTTAACAAAGCAGCGTGTGGGGAAACTACTTGCTTTAAATCTTATCACAGGTGTCAAGGTGTTATATAAGGTTTCCTAGCAGTAATGTTATGATCACAAGCATACTTATGCTCATAAAACAACTCTAACTTATCAGAATGGACTTTGAAAAAAAAAAAAAAAAGCTGCAGATCACCAAGATATGGAGCTCATTAACCATTGTACTGATAAAGGTTTTCCATTTAAATAAAAGTCAAGGTTAGATTTGCTCTTAATTAGTGCAAAAATAAAATATCCTCAAAAATTAAGTTTTTGCCACTTCTGTGGAGCAAGAGAAGCCATTTAGGTAAGGATAGAAAACAAATGACCAGTTTAACAGCTGGGAAAGACGACCCTTGTGAAAAAGTCTTTTGAAATTTGAAAAAAGGTTAAAATATTTGAATTGAAAAGTAAAACAGCTTCAAAGATTATGCTAGTTACCTACCTGTCACATGGGGGCGGCAGTAAACATTTCCCAAATGCTAACAGAGTTATGAATGAAAAGCAAAGGAGCACCAGGTTAACCATTCTGAGAGAAGAGCTGAAGTTAAACTCAAGACTAAAGGAAACTGCTTCCAGATCAGTTTATATCTGTGACCCAAAGTCCAGCCAGAAGGCCGACACTCTGCCCCCTAGCTTCCGTTTAACAGGGTAATAAAACAAATACACGTCAGGCAATAAATTTCAGTGAGCTTTATTTTTTTTCCGAACAAAAACTTAATCCAATAATATTCATAACATTTGAAAATGTGAAATCTTCCCTCACTGAAACCAGGCCAATTATATCAAATAAAAATAAACACGTTTTAAATTTCACATAAATTTGGAGTCTGTTTCTTAAATCCCTATATTCCCGATTTTTCTTTTCCTCCTCAATTGCCCACTTGCCCCTCCCACTCTTACCGATGCATTTGTGTAAAAAAAGACCAATTCTCTCAAGTGTGTAGAGACGGATCCAGATAAACAAGTGCATCAGGGCAGCAAATGCTCCAAATTACCCACCCCAAATTATTTTAGAACCATACAGACCGAGACAAATCGTTTCTATTCTCAATTAATGACCAAATCTGAAGTAAGATGCTCCTGTCTCAGTCTATAGGGTTTAATCCATGAAGGCCTCTGGCAGTAAGGCGGCTTTCAACCAATTAACCACACTGAAGCTTTTAGACTTTATAACCACAGTCTGCAGCCATTACTGCCAGAAGCCTGCATAGACACAGACAGCTGCCAGGTGTCTGAATTTCATCCCTGTTCACTCGGTAATGCTTAGGTTTGCTTTGGATTTTTTTTTTAGTTTCTTTTTAAGTCCCTCCCACCTCCAATGTGACCCGAATAAAGAAAAAAAAGACTATCTGGGACAAAACCGTGAGAACAGGGATCAGAGTAAACCAATGAGATAGAGGGAAATAGTTTATTTTTTTCCTCATTGGCTAACAGAGCATCTCACCAATAATCAGGGGAAACTTGTTTGTAAAAAGGTTCGCTGAACACAAAGTTTGCTGAACTTTGTGTTCAGTGAACTTTGGGGCTTCTGCCCCCCCGAAGGAAGTGATGCAGCCAAGCTTAAACGTGGCATAAATCAAAGTAACAGCAAATAGCTTCCCTTCACAAAACAAAAACAGCCAATTAAGCTGCGCCGCAGCAAGAAGCATTTCTATGCGGTAGATTATTCCGCTCGCTATGATAAATCAGTCCTGCAGTTAAGATTCACAGACCTGGGCTGGTGACCAAAAATATTAATCAATCCAAATACACCAGCCTAGGGAAGCCATCTGTTGAGACTGTGCTTGTTAACACTGGTAGCAGGAGAGAATAAGGGCATCTTTTAAACACTTTAAGTGCACATTTTTGGAATTGCACCTTCAAACTTTAAAGTACTAAAAAGAAAATTACAGATTAACCCAAAAACATTCTATGACCATCATCATTTAAATGCTTTTGCATTCTATAAAATTATAAATAAGCTCCCGGGCCAATATTGCAGGACAAAAGCTGGCAGTTGAGGAAATGATCTCCAGTGCTAACAAGAGAATTGGTGCGAGCAGCTTTTTAGTTTGCCAGCCAGTTACATTTTTTTCTAAAACAATCTTAAAATAAAAGTATGTACAGAAGGAGAAAGCTGAACCCCACATGTCGGCTTCATGTCTTGCAGAATAAGGTATGGCCATCCATAGGAAGGGGGGGAGGAGGAACATGACAAAGAAAAACAAACATTTTCTCCAAAGAAGCACCACTGAAACAGGAATCTTGACTCATGGTGGTTCTCTGGCTGCTTTTTTGACTTTTAGTGTTCTGAGGCTGAAGACAGAGGAAAGGATCAGGGTCTCTGAGAAGCAGGAGCTTCACCACAAGCTACCGAGCAGTCTGGCCGTCTCTTGGAGGGTAAGAAAAAAAAAAAAAAAATCCAGTCTCTGCTCAATGAAAATCCAAGTTTTCCCTCATTTATCAGCCAGAATCAAAATCCACTGAGCCAGCGCTAAGAGTTAAATCAGACCAGCTTCCCTCACAAAACATGACCCAACCAACCAACCAACCAAAACTGGTTATGAATTCATCCCACGGATCAAACATGGACTGTAACAAATTCTCAATACGGTGAACATGTGGCGTGAAGTGAGTAAAGTGGAGGACGATGACGGGTTATTACTTCAGAACATGTGGAGCTGCTTGTTAAGGCACTTGTTACAAATTGGATAAAAGTTTGAACGTAAAACATGCAGAATGGAGGGTTTCCTTCCAGGGTCTGTCGGGGCTGGCTTTGTTTTCAGTGGTGGATATGAATCAGTCATCTATACGCACATATCTCTCCGTTTGGTCCCGCGCTTTCCTCTTGGTGCTCATGTCTTCAGTATGTTGCAGTGCAGCACAAAGCCTTTAAATAAGGCAGATGAGTTCTTCCAAAAAGTGTCTGTTTCCAAATGCTTTCCTGATGGTGGCTTCCAGAAGAAAGAAACTGTACAAAAACAAATTTGAAAAGAAAAAAAGTCCAGGAGAAACGGGGTGAAGAAGGATTTGAAGGGGAGCGAAGAATAGGTTGAAAAATGGAGAATCTGAAAAGAAAAGAAAAACAAATAAGCTTTCCGATAGAAGCAACCCAAATCCTTTACTTTCAATAAATCCTTTGAATACAGATTTAGCTTCTTTTTTTTTTTTTCTCAACAGCCGGTCAGAAAATGTAAGTTCTTGAACAAGAAAATGTTTAAATCCATGAGTCTTCCCACATCTCATTAAAACAACTTCAGCAAATTTGACTGAGATTTCTTCAGATGGAACAACAAAGTACATGGAAAGAAAATGCATGTTTATTTCAATTACCGATTTAAATAAATGCATTTTATTGATCCATTAACCTTCCTTTACTTAAATAAAACGCAGTGCAACAAATTAACCAAGTGACAAATGGAGTAAATGAGCAAAAATCGAGCCGTCTGTGAAGATCCAAGAGAACACTAATGAACAAACTGCATCATGGTAAGACAGGATGGTTAGGCTAAAAAGGGCCAGAAATCCCTTTCAGTTTATAGTTTTAAGTTGCACAAAGGTTTATCCTTCTACTACAAGGCACTGAATGCACTTAATGTAATGAAGGTACCTACAGCCTCACTGCTTGACCTCTTCTCCACTCTCGCTGTGGTATTCTGCCACGTACAAGCTCTTGTCGATTATTCCAGGGATGGGCTTGATCTCTGTGCCGAGCTGCTCCTCAATCGCTTTAAGGTTGAAGCGATCGTCGTATGTGATCAGGTTGATGGCCAAACCCAGGTGGCCAAAGCGTCCTGGGAAGGAGGGAGATCAGTCAGTCACGTTAATGGACCAACAGAATGTCTACTTTAGGAAGGATCTCTGCAAGCTCTTACCAGATCGACCAATGCGATGAAGGTACGTCTCTCCCAGCTTGGGGAAATCAAAGTTGATCACAACATTCACAGCTTGAATGTCAATTCCTCTTGTGAAGAGATCTAAAAAAAAAAAATAAAAAATAAGACAGTACATTTATTCACTATGGAAATGCGTTTATCAAGCAAAGACAATAGCTTAACAGCCGAAAGACAACCGCTGCCAAATGAGTCATATTGAAAGACTTGTTTGTTTCGTTTCAGCGCATTTAAACCCACAGCTCAGTTATGAGAAATAAGCTCCAAACTATAAAGCTACAGTAAATCCCACATCAATTTATGTTGGCATTTGCATTTCAAGACCACATCTATAAACCATTCAGGAAAATACTCAAACTGTAGAGCATCCTTCAGATACCACAAAAAAATATATCATCCTGCAGGATGATGCTGAATTCACAGGTGGGATAACTGGGTGAATGTTTATATAAATACGAGTACTCAGCCAACACTGCAGTACAGAACGCAAGAAGGAAAAATACAAAAATTACAATGCAGCAGTTATGAGAACCAGGAAGATAAGCTGCAGCATTAACATGCATGTTCACAGCCATCAACAGGAAATTACAAAGTATCAGGCTGAGTAATTACTGAACGCATTCAGAACTCACTGCAGGCATTTGAGGGTTAAATATGTGCCTGCAGAACAGGTTTAGAAAATTCCAGGGCCATAGTGCATGTTTAAAAATGGCGTGGACTCCTTCATGCTGAAGCATGTAATCTAGCGGCCATTTTCAAAACTTTAGATATCAGACAAACAAAGATTCTGCATATGATTTAAGCTGCATTAAAACTGTAAGCAGGAAACAGTGAAGTAAAAACCATATGTGGAAAATTAATCAAGCAAGAGAAGTTTGATCGCGTTAGAGGAGCATCATGTAGTCGGATGCTTCACTTACCAGTGCAGACAAGGTTTCGGCACAGCCCATTTCGAAAGTCGTGGAAAACACGGTTGCGATGTTCCTGAAAAATAAGGAATCTAAACTGCATAATCTGTGTTTAAATAAGCCGACAAACTGACATTATGGATACGTTACCCAACGCCATTTAATCCTAATGTTCTGTAATAAAACTATCTACCTGTAACTGCATCCTGCTGGACCAGTAGATTTAATAGCTTAATGTACCGATTTAACCATTTTGTTTAGCATTCCAGGTTAGAAATAGAACAAGGAAGTTATGTTTTACTAAAAAGTACAGATCTTTGTATTGGTTGTTTTATTACATCCGTGTCTTCAACAGTTACCCATAAGAGTGATGCAACAGAGGTTTTACAGCAGTTTAGGTGATTATCTAAGGAACCAGACACTGAAGATATACACCCGCAGCAGTTTACAGTGGTGTAATATGCTCAACCATTCACAGGCAGCTGGCTTCCTACCAATGTTTGGAGACTACGATCAGCTGATACAGCAGCTGTCTTCCAAAAATTCAGCAAAGAAGGAGAAGTTGTTTGGCCTTAGTAAAGAGACTGACAGAACTGAATATCTTCAGTAATGTTTTAGATTAAAATCCAACTAAACTGAGTCAGACTGACGAGCAGTTAGCCTTCCAAAGCTCCAACCATTTTCTTCACAAATTAATTTATGTTTGTTTACAAATGTTCATTATATTTATACATCCTTACTCTGAAAATATTAAGTCAACAGCAAAGCAAATTTCCACAAAAACCTAATTAAAACACA